ATTTAACTTACAACTAGGACTAACTTAAACTAACCGAATTTAGACTGAAAAGAAGATGAAAAATAAGAATGAAAATACAAAGTTGAAAGGCAGCTTATATACCGACAGTTGAAATAAAGCAAGGGAAAGCTAATTGCCATCTGTGCCCCCAGAGTGAGTGCTCTCAAGAGCCCCACTAAGGGATATATGAATGCGAGTAATGATGGAACATTGTAGTGTGTGAATGAGTTGGTGCAAGTTGCAAGGCCAGTTGTATCCTTCAAGAATAGCAGCTCTCATTAAACTATTCCTAATGTGATTGCACCTGTTGCAGCGAAAAACTAAGTGAAGTGGTGTTTGGTCCTCCCGAATACCCCAATCGCATTGTGGATTGTCCCCAAGGTTAAATCTGTGCAAGTATTGCTTAAAGTTGCCGTGTCTTGTAAGTAGGTAAGTGAGGGTGTAACTAGAGTAAAAGTTGCAAAGAATCACATTAGTGTCTAACTTGGGGATAAAAAGTGTAGGTGAGCCTCCCAGTGATGTCGTGGTCCCAGCTGATTGTTGATGTACGACGTAGTAAAGTAACTGAAAGTACTAGTGACTGAAGACTTTCCAGCTTGTTTGGCAAGATGGTCAGTGGTCTCGTTGCCGAGAACTCCTGCATGACCCGGGACCCATTGGAAATCTATTCTAATGTTGTTGTCTAAGTGTTTGAGAATGTGTTGTATGAGATGGACAAGTTTTAAGTGGCTATCAGACTTCGCAATCCTGTGTAAAGCTACCCTACTGTCAGAATAAATGTGACACTGTAAGCCAGTGTTTTTCAACTTGTGGGTCGCAAAGCCTTACACGGGGAGTCGCGGGTAAAAGAAAAAGACAAGTGTTTGTAGGTCCTACACTACAATAAATAAAACTACAATTTCAGTGAGAAGGCTTTGCATTTTTATTTTAAAGTACAATAGGTTTTTCGATAGATATTTAGGTCTCAACAGAAAGAAAAATAAATACGTAGTTTTTAAAATCACTGATATAGTTTTAATATGGCCCTGGGGGGGTCGCCAGAAATTTTTTTAACTTGTAAAGGGGTCGCGTATTCAAGAAGGTTGAAAAACACTGCTGTAAGTAGTGTCTTTTGTCTTTCCTACGCCTAATGTGAATTAATCTCATATAAATAGCTAAAGTTTCCGCCTGTGCTATTGATCAGTGTGAACCTAAACAGAAGAAAGCATTGAGAAACTTGCGGCCTAAGTCGGATTAAACTACAAAAGTGGCACCCACATTGTCACCCATCTTGGAACTGTCAGTGTAAGTGAAACCACCTAAACATGGAACAATCACCTGGATCTTTGAAGTAAACGTCAGGGGCAAGCTGGTGGGAGGGGTGGTAATCGTAAGTTGAGAGGGTATTTTTGTCATTGTTGAATCTTTTGATATCGATCAAGGTCAAACTGGGGGGAATCTTACCTACTCTAATCATTTTGTAGACATCTGAGTTGCTATAATCTCACCGGGGTAAGGTGACGAGATTTTTCTGCCAAATAATGCATTTAATTTTTAAGTCGATAGGGGTCAATCCTGACATTACCAAAAGGGCACTAGTGGGTACAGTCCTATAAGCCTTACAAATGCAGAGAGCTGCAATCCTTTGAACAGATAACAGTTTTTTACAGTTATGGACTTTGGCAGCCACGTGGCCCCAGACCTGTATGGCATAGAGGAGTGTTGGCTGAATTGCACTCTTGTAAATAAGCTTAATAGTGTTAGGGCCAAGGCCCCATGTGTTCCTAGCAATACTAATGAGGGCATTGGCCATCCTTTTAGCTTTGTCCTTGATGTATTTGATGTGGGGTGTGAAGTTAAGTCTCTTGTCAAGAATAACACCTAAATATTTAATTTCCATTGTTGCTTTATTCTGTGAGCACCTATTTGAAGGGCAAGCTTCTTGACGAGTGGTGCATTCCTACCAACTATTATGCTTTCTCATTTGTCTGTGTTAATGAGTTGCCTATGCTTAATACTCCACTGGTGAATGTTATTGATAATGCCGTTGCATATGTCCTGTAAGCCTTCACTGTTCCCGTGTGAAGCTAGGATAATTGTGTCATCTGCATAGCCCTGTATGCGGCAGCCAGGAAGCAGGATGTTGTTTAAGTGCAGAATAGAGTTATAGCTATGTTCCAGAGACCAGAACCAGACCTGGATTCTTGAGGACAGCCTCGAGTGATTGATATGACTATGTTATTTTGTGTTGTATAAACACCTGCACTCCTGTTGCTAAGATAGGACTGAAGAAGTTTGTAAAGATTATGAGAGCAGTGATGAACACGTGATGTGTGCAGGATAATAGGCCACCAGCATGATCAAAGGCACCTCTAAAGTCAATAGTGATAATTGCGATATGCTGATTGTTTTGTTTAGTGTGATGGATGACATCTACTGTACCTTTGTTTTTAGAGAAGCCGAACTGATTCTAATGGAGGGCTCTACGCTTGCGTAGATGTTTTATTTTCCTAGTGGTTATGCCGTCAAGACCTGCTGCTACCAATAGAGAAAAGTCTCTTATTTACATATGGTACTGATAGAATGAAAAGAGAGTCTAATTACTGGAAATGTGGGTAAAACAGGTAATTCACAAAATTCTCTGCACAGTCATTTTTACCCCAAAATGAGGACATATGTTAACCTCTTGAATAATTAGCTGAATTTGCAAAAGGTCACATCATTGAGCTGAGGGAAGCAGGGTGATTATTTTGCTAAACTGAAAGACATTTGAATAATCAGACTTCACTGTAAAGAGGTGATAGTGACAGTGGCTGTATAATACATACTACTCTGACAGAGGATCACTTAACACAGGTACAATCAGATCCAACAACCTGCATCTCCACAGTCCATAGACAGATACTGACATATGTGGAGAATCAGCTATCATCCCGAATGACTGCAAGGCAGTTTACTGAGTCAGAATCACATTTACACTGTTCCTTACACAAATTACTAATGTTCTTAAAATGGCTTCATCTACAGTGATCTCCATTAATAGTGATCAAGTGAGGCATTGACTGCTAATTAATACAGACAGGATATCCTGTGAATTCATGCATGGCATTTTGTGATGTGTATACAACAGGATAATGTCTCCCCATATACTTTCGGATGTTCCAGGAGTGCCTCCACAACCTTGACGCTCTTCCTCAGCCCACCCAGTTGCCAAATTTGTCACTTGTAAAGCACATGTGGGCTATGCCTAAATGGCAACTTTAAACATTAATGAGTGTGCAGAATCTAGAGAAACAATTACAAAATTTTTGAGAAAATCTATTGCAAGACAACATAAGGCATCTCTGACTATACCAAACCCTATCTCTGTGAGAGAAGGTGCTACAAGATATTAACTACAACACGAAACTATACAGTTAATCTCAATTAACTATCACATTTACCACATTAACTGCAGTTATTTCCATCTTCATTATCACTGCACATTTTGATTCAATTCTGGCACCTGTTTATTGGTGCGCACTTTTTTTGGTCAAAGAGTGTACGTATGCATTAGGATTTCTCATTTCCCAGTCTTTTGCTTGTCCCGGGGAAAAAAGAGAACTGTTTCCCGGGATAGAATTAATTATTTTTTAAGATATACAAATATCTTGAAATCAAATGATATAATTATTTTTCATTTTTTAAAGTAATTTAATACATTCTGCAACCTCCAAAATCATATTAATAATGCTGCGTAAGATATATATTAAAAATTACCTTTGAATTACGTAGAAATTTTCACAAATAAAAAAATTTATTACAGTTTGCCGGAAACTGCATACAACAGGGGGGGGGAAAATGCTTTGAATTGAGTTAAAAATTAAAAAAAAAGAACTTAGATTAACTTCTAACTTAAAAGGTAATTTTCGTTTTTTAAATAAAACATAATACAAAATATTATTGTAAATTTTTTAAAAAGCAAAGATGGTTGATACTCCGATCACTCAATCTGATTCTTATATTAGTAATGAAAAGTCCTGCTACCGAGAACGACCTTTCCGATTCAATTGATGTAAGTGGAATCGTGTTTAATGCATTTAAGAGAAGACAGATGTTGTGTGTTTTTTCACCTGTAGCCTAGAAGATTTCTAGTTCATTTTCAAGATGCGTTGTAGTCAGTGGTGATATTCAGCGGGTTCACACAGGTTCGGCCGAACCCGTTGTTAACATTTTCAAAGTTTTCCGAACCTTGTTAAACATATGAAACATTTCTCAATGGTTTGATTCTTTTAAAAATATTAAAATATACGTATTATACTCTGTAACACTACTAAACTAGAGCCTTCCGATGCACTATTTGAGCGAAAAAAAAAAATTGTTAAGGAAAAGTTTTCTGTTAGCGAACCCTTTGTTAAATATTTCGAATGTCATCACTGGTTGTAGTACTTTTGCCATCTAGTATTCTTGATTTGTCTTTTGTCTACCTCGTCTGCTTTAATAGTGGCATCAAGCTTACAGCTTGATAATTCGGCAGTTCATTTGGCCTTAATGATCAGGTTTATGAAGAAAAACTTCATACTTGCATACTTCGTACTTGTGTGTATCCTTGCCAATCTGCACAACCTGGCATTACGCAGTTATTGACACTACTGGGCATGGCTAAAAATTAAGACAGCATAAGCGCAATTGTTCCAGATATTACAGGTTCTGACAAGTAAAGAATTTTCAGAGTCCTGTCACAAGTAAGCTACGTATTGATTATTGACCATTTGTGACATGCCATAACAAGCAAAAATATTTAAAAAACTAATAAGTAGGCTTAAAATTAATAAATACAAATATATTTTGACAGTTTATGAGTTAATTATACTTTCTATTCGCAAAATTTCCTCAACCCTAATACAAAATAAGAAAAAAGTGAACTTTTAAGAAATTTGCAGGATTTCCCAGCATGAGAAGAATTTCCCGAGTTAAAAAAAACTTGAGAAACCCCAAAAAATATGCAAACTTACAAAAAAAAACAATTATATTTAACTTACTTGATGATTACGCAACTGTTTGTTAGTTTTAAATCCTTTACCACATGTATCACATAAGTATGGACGCTCTTCTTGATGAATACGCTTATGAAGATTTTCCAATTTACTTAAACTGTAAGTACTGAAAAGAGGCGAAAAATTGAATTAAACATCTAAAATTATAATTTGTTTGCTCATAATGCAAAGTTTATAAATTAATTAGAGTGATTAATTACTGTATATGACTTGTCCACTAGTAAATATATAAATTTTCAAAATATTCTATGTAAATAAATCAAAAAATAATAAATTTCTGGTAAGAAAATAGAAAAATATAGCTGGCGAATGAAGATTTTCTGTAACTGAATACTGTTAATAGCCACACATGGTTATCAATGGTATTTAGTATATTAATTCTTAGCCTACTGCTCCAGAAGACCAAAATTTAGGCAGTTAAACTTCAGGAAATTTTTACGGGTGATCTGTTCAGATGTGCCCCATAATCCCCCACCGTGGTCAAATCTGAAAAGGACTTACCGAAAAGAACACTGATCACAAGCATGTAATTCTAAATCTACAGAATGGTGACGCCAAAGATGTCCGGCAATGTTACCCCAATGTTCGAAGCGATTTCCGCATTCGGGACAATTAAATGCAGAACAACCGGCGACGTGGCACTTACAATGATATTCTAAATTGTCTAACTGTCGAAACCTTATGTTGCAACCTTTAAACTCGCAGCTGAAATTAGGAATATAAATTATTAAATGAAACTTTACACAGGATGATCAAATGAAAACAGAACCCGTGAAAAACAGTGCATGGAGTTGATAGTGCTACAAGTCACTCTGAGCGATGTCATGAGCTGGCCGCATTCGTCGTACCGTCGACTCGAAGCATCACCGAGTAACTTGCAGCACCACCAGATTTCTTACGCTACTACTAATTATCATTTGATCACCTTGGTTTAACTTTGTTAAGAAATAAAATAAAATTTCACTTACATATATGATCCGTACTCTCTCTTTAATTTTCTTTGCCAAGATTTCTGACGAGAAGTTACTTCTCCTCTCTGTCTCTTCATTGCAATCACTAATTTGGTTTCCGGTTCATTTTTATTCTCTCTCGACTTTTTAAACTTTTGATTTATGGCTTTTGTCGTCGGCGTTGTTCCTTTACTGTTCAACTCCAAAAGAATAACTCCCGATTTATTTACAGTTACGTTTTGGTTTCCATTTGACTTATTTACTCCGGAATTCTGAGTGCTGACTATTCGTTCTAGACGGACACGTTTCCATTTCACACTATGATCCGAAACCATGTGATGGCGACATGCTTCGAGAGACGAAAAACCCTTACGACATTTACCGCAGAGAAAACGATTGTCGGTCTCTTCCGAAACTGGAGTATTATTTATATCCTTTTGATTTATCAAATTTGAGGATATAGTTGCTTCTGAATTGTAATTTACATTCTCTCTCTCAATTAAAATATTCCCTTGTTCTAAATTATTGTCTGGCATCTTACTCACTTCTATGGGCACTTCATTTCTAATCTTTAATGGTTCCGAAATTTCTAAATTCTTATGATGAGATGATTTTAAATGAGATATGACTAGATGTTTGTGAAGACTAATGAATGTACAGAACTTGCATTTGAAGCATCGTGTCTCTTCGATGGATGACAAGAGAGTGGTATCCTCGGAAGAGTCTGCATTTAAATTAGGTGAATGTTTCGCAAACCTATCTGACGCGGTACCGGAAGAAGTTAATATCGGAGTAGACAATGTTAATGCTTGAGTAGAAAGATCTGTGAAGTAAGTCTGAGTATCGTTAGAAAGTTGGTTAGAATGATTAACGATTTGTTTCTGATACTGACTTTCTGCTACCGAAGTTTGTAATGTTTGATTACCAATGTTATCGTACATGCCGTTATTACAAGTATTTGCAGATAAATTTAGATTTTCATCTTGTGCATTCAATCCAAATGCCTTTATTAAAGATGGACTACAACCCATCAAATTATTCGATAATAAATTTGTGACAGATGAAGTGGATACAAGAGAATTCATTAGATTATCCGGTTCCATCGACTGCGACGTCACTAAGTTATTTGTTAGCATTTCGAATGGCTGATTACCATTTGAAACTGAGATATTAGGTAAGGAATTAAGAGGTAATGACTGCTGAACTAATGGTTGTTGTATATTTGGTAATTTCACCTTTGAAACTGAAATATGATGAAGGGAATTATTATCATTGTTTGCAATTGTGAAAGCATGAGGTTTATTGGAAACTGGACTTTTATTCATATTATTACTGTTCTCAGAAATTGGAAGAATGTTTTGAGTAACTGGCTGTATACTCGTCGGACAAGAAGGGATGACTGAAGACTGGTTAAGTTCTAACAATCTAAAATTGCTAGCTGCGCGCAATGCAGGATGTAATTCCGTAACAGGTGGAAGAATCCCTGAAGAAGCTATGGGTCTAGATTGTACTTTTAGCAAATTGTTATTTAACCAAGTCGACACCATGTTGTTATTTGTAGGCACGGAAAACGGCGGCAAAGAAGATTGAATTGACATATTCGTCATTGACATATGACTGATCGGTGCCGAAGCCTGCAGTAGATTAGCATTAATTGGCTGAGAAATGGTGGTCTGTGGCAGAGTACTCGCATCGAGCGAAACAATATTTTGTAATGTTTCAAACAGTTGAGCCTGCTCGGTTTCTTCGACGCCATTAAGAGTATCGTGATGTCTGCTTTCGTTAATTGTAGCTGCATTATGCAAGGAATGATCTATTGATTGGGTCGAACTCATTCTTGCACAAAAGTTTCATTATATAAACTTTGCATAGCAAATAAGAGATTTCTTCCTTTCCAAATGGATCATCCTGTTAAAAAGGGGAATAAATTAATTTTCAAGCAAATAAAATCAATCTGAAATGAATTTAATCAGGTGATGAAGTGAAAAGTTTACTTGCAAGAAGTAAACACAATGATGCTGATAGTCAGACCTGGCAATATTGTAAGACAACTGTGCTTGTTACATCTCTGCTTTATTGCAAAACACATTTTAAAATCTTGAATATTCATTTACTATAGACTTGAATGATAGCATTTGAAACTGTTTACCAAGTCTACAACTCTTTGCAATTAAACTTTTCATTCAATCACTATGTATACACAGTAGCATCCACTTACTGTAATCACTTTGGGACTCTCCTATACAGATGGTGATAATGGACTAATAATGTGGATAGGTAAATAAAACTACAGTAAGTGGAAAGTCTGCTTTTGTTGAATATGACATTAAAAATATGTGTAACTTGTAAACTCTCATATGCAAGCCGTATTTTTGTAGTACCATCTTTAGCTAATGTACAATTGAAATAAAAAATTCTAGAAGTTTAAACTACCGAAATATAAACAAGTAATGATTAAAACAATACTTGACATTTCAAGGTCTGGTTAAGATTGATAATGATAACTGGTAACAAATTCACATTGCCGATCACACACTAAACTCAATAGTGTGAAACGATGGCTTAAAAATACCTATTTACCCAAAGATGATGATCTAACATTCCTTCCCTTTCATCTGGACTTCGCATTGACAATAATAGAAATTTAGATGTTTTGGGAAGCAATAATTCCAATTACATTATCTGTGATTATGATAAGTGGATTCTACTGCATTATTTTTTATATGCAAGTTCCTGCTTTACTTGTATATAGTAAGTGATTTTGAACACTATTACTCACCAAAATTAATTTAAAAATAGTTTAATGATACAGGAAATCCTCGTTAATTCAAACTCCAATAGTTCATATCTGTACTTTTGTCCCGGCTAAAGATAAAAAGATTTACATGTCAAGGAATTAGGTTAGTTTGAAATAAGGCTACTTTTTAATTTGAAGCGAAAATTCTGTCCAAACTGTGATATGTGTATGTAACTTGTTCATTTAGATCAAAGTGCCTCTATGCTGTAAGAGAACAATACAGTCGACCCCCCCTATAACACTGTTGATAATTCCGTTTTATATGAATTCCCTGTTGTACGAGTCACTTAGATTTTACAAATACGTGAGTCGTTCACAGCCCGGCACATGTATTTGTAAAATCTAAGTGACTCGTACAACATGGAATTCATATAAAATGGAATTATCAACAGTGTTATAGGGGGTCGACTGTAGACCAATAACAACTCTAATGGCTTTGCTTTTACAGTAACACAGTTTTGGGTATTACCTGATACATAAATTGCCCCCTTTTCTTTTATCTAATAAAATACTACTGGTTTTTGAGATTGCAAGATTGGGCTACAAATAGCAGTTGAGATATTTGTAGGGCTCCAGGCTACTACATATGAACAATGTACTATTTTTGCATCACTATAAAATAAGTTGGGCTACATTTCAAGGAATTCTGCTTTACTTTTTATACAATCTACATATCTGGCAACCCGTGAGGTTCTTACTGGACACGTACAGTTTAGTTGCAGTTTATTTATATCATTATTATTATTATTATTCAATGAAAATAGTATTCTGTATAAGTAGTCTGTTCTGTTTGCTTAATAAATTACATCAGTTATGTGGCATTTGCATATTCTACAGAAATATGTAGATCTTGGATAATTCAAAGTTGCGAATATTATATCCCAGAATTTTGAACTGACAAGGTTTTCCTGTATCTAATTTGATAGGAATAATTACATACCAAAATAATTATTAAACCTATGTAAAAATGAAATTTTATTGTAAATTCTCAAAAATAAGGAGAAAACATTGCTTTAATTAAGGAAATAATAACTTCAAAAAATTATGAAATTGTTCAAGTTCTTTCAAGCTTAAAAACTCATTCTTAAAAGTCGAAGATATGAGTTATTAGTGAATCAACAGTGCTTTTACAATAAAGACAAAGTCTATTATTCGAAATTTCCAAACGACGACCCCTTATCATAATATGAAATTTATTTGGACACAATTGCATAATTAAACTTTTAACAAGATAACTTACATATAATTTAAATAATACCTGGTTTGCCAGCCAAATACTCCATCATAAACATAGCCTTGATACATTAACAAATAATACAGGTCTTGGTTTTGATCATTATCTCGTACAGATGGGTTCTCAATAAGAAAGGAAATTGGTTCAAAAAATAAAAATAAAAAATAAAGGAATAACCCAAGTCATTAAATATTTTATGATCCAAAGCAGCCAATTTCTTTTAGCAGATTTCTCCATCTTTAATAATACATTATAAACATTGTAATGCAAATCTCAAGACGACAAATCAATTATCTTTGACCAAAATATCAAAATAATTCTCATAACCTTGACTTTTTGGAGGTCTGTCCAATTCGAACTTAAGAATCAGTCCGGGGACCGATTGTTTTAATTTATAGAGATGTTTAAAATACTGCAGCCGAACTTTCTCCAATTCCACCAAAAGATCGAGACTCCAAATTGGGATTATGTTCATTTTGATTTCAAAAAAAAAAAACATCAAAAAGTTTAAAGTTATTTCTAAAATAATTCGTTTTATTTTTTTTGTAGTGTCAGCAATTTCTTTTCTTTGAAAAAAAACTCTATAGAGTCAGCCAGCAACAGTATATTGTCATTGTATATAAGACAATGTAAATCATCCGTTTCATTTAAAAAAAAATCCCAAGCTTTCCAAATGGGAGAAAATACAATATTAGGTGGATCATTGAAGAATAAAATAAATAGAAGAGGACTTAAGGGTTCACCCTTATTAGAAACAACACTTTTAGAAAACTTGAAATTCAGAAGTACACGATAATTTGTATTAAGTAATAAGTTTATAATTAGACAAATAAAGGAATCAGAAATGTTCATTCTGTGAAGTTTTCCACTCAAAATGTTAAGACTGACCTTATCAAATGCTTTATCCATGTTGACAAAAACCAAGTAAACTTTGTTTTCCCTTGCTAAGACTATCTGTATTAATGCATCTGAAATAAAAACATTATAATTGGCTCCTCTCCCTTTGACAAATGATCCTTAAAATCTCGAAATAATACTATAGCTTTTAATCAATCGGCTAGACAGTAATCCAATCAATGACTTTCTGAAATTATTCAACAATGCAATTGGGCAATAGTTACAGGAGTCAGACTTATCCCCTTTCTTGTAAATCATTCCAGTCTTGTGGAAAAATAGCCAAATCTATTATCCTGTTCAAAAAACTTAACATATTCGTAATAAACATTTTTTCAGGTAAGTGTTTAACGTGTCCATTTTTGATGCCGTTAGAAGCAGTAGAAGATTTGTTCTTTAACTTAGCAATTGTAGTTTTTAGTTTGTTTAGGGAAAATGGGATATCTAGAATTGGAGAAAAACATTCCACTGTAGCATTTAGAGCTAACTCTACGGTCAGGGCACAAAAACTTTCCTCTAGAAAAGCTTCTCGGCTATTAATTGAAATGCTATTGTCGGGTCATCTCTTGAAATTTATCTTATTTATAATTGACCAGAATTCCTTTTAAGATTTAGCTGATTGTAATTAATTGTAATAGTTCATGCTATTCCAATATTTTTTATTCTTAGCTTTGCACAAGGAACAAAAACAGGTTTTAAGATTGCAAAATTCAACAAGATTTTCTTTATTTCTGTTACTACAAAAAAACTCTCAATACTCTGTTTTTAATTTTTTTTGCTGATTTACAGTCACTATCAAACCATCCACAAGGGTGCAAACAAACAGTCTTCTGTTTAGTAACTAAGCTGCAATGTCTCACAGAGTCCCAAATAATTTTTATCATTGATTTATAAAATTCTTCGATATTGTTATTCAAAGGAGCTAATAATGCTGAACATCTTTTTAGCGTTCACCCCTAGAAACGTCTTTAGCTTCCGCTCTCCAAATTAGTCTCTCACTCACTTGCTCTACTTCATTACGTTTATCTAAGTGTGATCCAAAATTCAGAATGGCCAAGGACAAAGTATTTTGACAAGTAATCGTCGGAGATAAGAATTTTCAAGCCAGTCTCTCAATCTATCACATGATAATATAATCAATCACTGAAACTCCCATGATGATAAATAGGTAAATTTCACTACAGTATAATTTGATTCAATTTGTCAAAAATAGAAATTTGCATATAAATCAAAATTACTATTAAATCTCATTGAAATTTATATACATTTACCTCAATTTAATTTTATTTTTACTGCAAGAATGTGCTGTTGATCCAACAATGGCATAATTTCACCCAAATTGTTATTAATGCACAAAAGTGGTACCCGAAGGCCTACCCTTTCCTAGGGGACTCGAGGCAATTACTTCAAATGTTTGAAAATCGGAATTAATCTTTTTAATTTTTAAATCATTTGATGACATTAGCTGGGTCTCGGTAATTCCCAAGATATCAACCCCATAAATCGCATCAATAAACTCTATGAAATTACATAAAAAGCACCTTGACAGTTCCAAGCAAAAACTCTCACATATTATGGAATTTTGAGGTTAAATCTTTAGAGATCGGAGAGTCGCTCGAGGGAATGGGGGTCAGATTTTCTCCCAAAAAAGCAAGACGAATTAATTCTTCTAAGTCAAAAGTGTATCTAACTGAATTTCCCTTGCTTCTCCCAAAATTATTTTGAGAAGTTTTTGAATCTTTCCCTCAATTTCACCATCAACAGAAGATAGTCCTGAACTAAGGTATTCTTACTTCTAAGTTCATTCACCATCGTATCCATACATGAAGAAATAAATTGTCTTTTCTCTGTATGTCCAGTTGAAACTTAGACAAATCCTCCATTCTTGATTCAAGTTGGGACAGTTGATCATTATAAGCAGTATGCAAATTAGTCAACCAGTCTGTTCTGGCTGTCAAATCATTCAAAATTGAAAACAGTTTATCAAACCTTTCATCCAGATAAGATTTAATTTCCTTAGATAAGGACTTACTTGGGCCTGGTGTAGAAGAGAAGAAATCATCTATTTTAGGTACCTTTAAAGTAGGTTCACTCAGCAATCGTAGTCTTTTTCCTGTAGTTACAGCCAAATTTTCAGTCGAAGTAGGTGGATTTTTAGAGGTGGAATCTTTAGAGATTGGAGTACGAGGAAAACGTATATGTTCCAAAATGTTTAAATATTTAGAGATTGGAATACGAGGAAAAGTATATGTTCCAAAATGTTTAAATATTTAAGCACAACGATTTTTGAATATCAGAATTTAAAACCTGAGGAAGACTGAGGAAGGCAGTCGAAAACGTTAGTTGTTCGCATTAAATATATTTTTACTGGTCAAGTAAAGGTTTTTATGTGTGTTTATATTAACGAGGAAAACGTCTGGGATTTTCCTCAATACTACTGTGAGGTTCCAGATGGGTTCCAAAATTGCATTGAATATACAAAATTCCTGAGGCAAAAACAAAACAAAAGTTACGTAAGAAAGAGAGGGAAAAAAATTATAGTCGTCAAAACAAAGGCAAAGCAGGGATAAACGAGGAATCTCAATGACTTGCACATGTGATAGATCATAGATGAACGTCGGCCCAGAGAGATGGAACTTTGACTTGGATACTCACATATAATCGACCCAAGTTAGAAAATTGGAAAAAGGGAAAGGTTTGATGGTCAAAGGACATTGCACTAGATTGTTGAAATTCTAAAACATCAGAGAAGAGGCAATAATAAATAAAATAAGAGTGCAGGTTTCATCAACATATCTTGGTCAGAGTCAAAGGATGGTATCAAGTAGACTCTCCAAAACAGGCCTTTCTCACAACCCAACAGAGCTCGGTTTTCACCCAGAGATAGGGGAGAGACCAATTGGAAAGCAAAACAAGGAAAGTTAGATTGGGCGAGAAAAACTCAAATTTCAAGGTCAAACGCGCAGATCCTTCAGACTATCAACATCTGGATCTTGTGTTGCTAAGAGTGCAAGCGCAATCAAAATTACTAAGTCAC